ACTATGAAGGCACCGATGCCTTACATAAGTATCGAACTTTTCAATTCTCATGAGCTTTGTCAGCCTTGTCGTGTTCAAAATTTCAAGTTTGATGCGCATCGACGCACCTCAGGCTCGAGGTCTCTTTTCACGTAAGTACAACGATGGCAAGCTCAAGCCGAGCTCCTCCCATTACTAGTCTTGAACCCTTAGTTAATCCTAGCTATGTTACTTATCCAACTGGAACTCCGAACGCTGAGCCCTCGGCTCTTTCGACTACATTGAATACTATCTACGGGACCAACACGAGCAGTCCGCACAGGGCGAACACGATGATGATGGACTCTGCCACCTCTGCGACAGTCTTGCATCCTTGAAAACCCAATTGGCCTACTTCTTTTGCTTTGAACTGTACGCTGTCATCAATATCGCATCACCGACAATCATTTCAGGCCCAAGACTCATCATTGACGACTGGCCATCGCTCGCTCAAGCACAGTATGATCACGTCGATATAACTCTCCTGAATCCGGTTATCAGTTCCCGGGAACAGTAACAGAGCCTATTTCTTTCGTGGGAGTTCTATGTCCTCATCGAATTTAAGCCAGGTATGTGCGTGTGCTACCTACTCCGACAATGATCGTTCCGAGTCAGGCAGATATGATCGTCTCATAACATAATGGAAGCCCATTAATCAAGGATGGTTATCATCAAGGACAGCCAAGTTCGATACCATCGATGCTATCCCTTCCAGTTCTTGGTAAAACCAATCAGGCATACTTTTTCTCCGGATGATCAATATGGTGACCGTTGATGTCAGTCCAGGTAAGTCTTCTCTTTCCTGTTTCTTGTTGGAAACCAGTGTGTGTATATATACACATTTCACTATCCATCTACCCCTCTAGGTCCAGGCCAGGATCGTATAGAATCTGGCTCTGAGGGAAGACTGGCCGTTGCTTTGCAAGGCTGATTTCTGAACCCAGGTGCCTGCTTTGACACGGTCAATCGTCGCGATGATCAGATATCTCGGCAGTCTTGATTGGGAGAGTAATTCATGACCGTTTACATTAACTCATGACTACTCTATCTCGCCATTATAATCAAACATCCAAAGCACATCTTGTCTTGCTACCATCTCAATGGAACTGCAGGTCCAAAGCTTTTGGTGGAGCTCTTGGTAATTCTTTGAGCCTTAAGCTGGAACCAAGGGGCCCAGGCTTGAAGTACGGTCGGAAATGTGTGTACAAAATAAGGATTGATGATAAATGGGTGTATGGCGATGTTAACAGCTATAGCAAGCGACATCGAATACAAATCAAACCCAAATCACATTGCAACAGGTGCTTTGCTTCAGGGTTTGGCTTTAGAGATACAATTGGTGTAATATACGGATGTATGGTGGTACGTAAGTAGCTAAACATCTTTGTAAACCTAGTATGAAGACTTCTTTGACCAACGATCACAAAGGGCACTTGCGGACATCCCATTCAGATCTCAACACATCATGGTCGGCTCCACGCCTTTCCTGGTAAAAGGTAACCCGCAGCAGCAACTCCGACACAGGTTAAAACAAAAAGGACATAGTAGACGAGATTGCCGCCCATATACCTGTGCTCGATGGACAAAGAAAATAAGCCGTTCGCGCCAGCAGACCCAATAGCTCTCATTAGGCTCACGGCCAGCTATCCCTCGGTGTCAGCGTCAATTTCTGCGATGATCTACTGCAACGTACTTGGCTCAAACCGTGTGTTGCACCTAATGAAGCTCTGTCGGTCGCGGCGGCATTTATATACATAAATATTGTCCCTTTGAAACCCAATTCGTCAGTATCAGATTCAGGATATCACCGGTGTCCGGACTTACCAAATGATAAACCATACCCATACGTCATGATCCACTGCAATACAATGACCACCCAGAGGAGATAATTGAAACCATAAATTTTGATCAGCCAATGTGCGATCGGAAACGTAAGGAACATAGGAATAGCACTTGCAAGCGCATTCATAAATGTTGCTTTATCTCCCAATCGTCGATGAACAAAGGGGAAAATAAAGATTTGAGCTGCTCCCACGGCTCCACCTACGGAGAGGATAATGCCTATGGTTGAGGGAGGGAGCTCCAGGCCGCCAAACTCGATAGGTGTAGCAAGAAAAATAGGCTGTATAGCGCGGAATGAAACCTCAAGGAGAGAGACGAAGGCGTAACTGCCGACAGAGATGATCACCCTTGAGTTGAGAACATGTCGAAGAGGAGTCCTTCTTGGGGACTCTCCTTGTTGCAACTTGGACCTGAAGAGATGACTGATTGGTACGGGAGACTCGAGAGTCTCTTTGAGCAGGTAGACCACAGCGACACAAGCGACGGTGGGGAGTATAGAGGATATTGCACAGGGTAGGAAGTATGGGTATGTCTTGAAAAATGGAAAGTCTCCAAATATTTCAGGGTAACGTTCTGCAGGCCGGGAGAGGTAGCCACCGACAATGGGTCCGAGCTTCCAGAGGTGGTAAATGTCGAGGAGTATTATAAGTATCATGGATAGGAAACTCACTGTCCAACCGATAGCCCAAGAAAGGGGCAGGCACCCCCAAATCTTGGTTACCTCTGAGAATCGGTATATTTAGAGTAGATAAGAAAGCTCACTACAGGCAGGTTTTCTTCCGTTGTCAATTCGGGCAAAATTCTTCGTGCGTATTATGAATAAGAAATGAAAATCCAAGCAGAGGTTTGATTTGCTCACGCCTTAATGACACCTGTATTTCCATCTTTATATTTCATGAGACGACCTGAACGACTAATTCTTTCAGGGACTTACTCATTGCACCACAGAGGCAGCGACTAGTGGTCGAGAGCGTATTAGATCCTTGAACTGGTCATAGCTTAAAATTGATTACCTACCTTAGAACAAGACCCCAGATTGATTTCGAAAGACCAAACCACAACGAAGATATGGGTAATCCAATCAGACCTAAGAGGATGACGGGTTTGCGGCCAATTCGATCTGATAGTCCGCCCCAATAAAGGACACCGAAGGCCTCACACCAGTAGAATGCGGATTGCTAGTGCGCTTCAGAACAAGTAAAAGAAGAGCAAGACGTAAAAGATGTACCAACATCCCAACATAATAGCCGACATGAGTTTCATCTCCATGCGTGATTCCAATTTCACGAATGAGCTAAATAAGAAAAGTTCCCATGATATGCCTGCATCGGAATAAAGCAAGAAAAGTTACTTACCTCGGGTGCAAAGGGAGATATTAATTGCGAACTAAAGGGCTCCAGGAGCAGGAGAAACATGATGACCAGAACTTGAGACCAAGGTACTGGTGTTGACTTCGTTCTATTGAGTAGTGGAGTTTCCTCGGAATCTGGATTAGACATTGCAAAGTGTTTGTCTAAGGCTCTCGAAGCTCAAGATATAACAGAGCCAGCCAGTTCAAATCCCGCGGACGATCCACAAAATTGCGAACATAGAGATTGGGCAGCGCTGTCAGAATCTCCGTGACAGCATACATGGTCCTGAAGTGAAACCGCGTAAATAAGAACCAATCGGTCATTCAGACTACGAGTTGGGGCAAGATCCACGACGCAAGTACGCATCCCCGCCTTTCTCAGTTTGAGAGGAAGCTTGAAGCTTTGAAATCATCCGCATTAGGTCACAGGTAGTTATTTGGGTAGTGTGTTGACAACTAGTATGGTAATGGGACTTCGGTTAGGACGTGGAAAACGTAGAAGAGAATATGGTCTCGTGTCAGTAAGGTTTAAGCTTGAGAGCCTGAGGCTGAGCGCGGTCCTCTCAGGACGCTTCCACTGGGAGTTGAATGTTTGATTCGTTGAGAATTCCAGTTGCCACTTATCTGCGAGCAGTCCATCGGCTGACCTCACTGGTAGTGTTTCTAATTGTCTCGTGTTAAAGTAAATAGAGCAAGAATAACGTTTAACGTAAAGTACTTATCCGTATTTTCTCTCGCGGTTTCTGTCCCGAGCGCTTCGTGACAAACGTGCTTATGGTCGCGGACTCTTTGCATTTTTACGGCAAGACCCGGCCGGGCCTTCGGAAGGACGAAAGGCTGAGGTAGACTAAAGAGGCTCATTGGCACCCTTATCAAGCTACGGGAAATTTTTGATACCAACAATCAAAAAGGCTCATCGCATCAGCGAGTCTAGATCTATGTCCGTCTGTGGTTGGGAGTCGAACCCAACCGACTGTTGTATGCTTGTTATTAGCGCTTTACTGTTGTAGAGAACCAGAGGCACTCGGGCTGCGAGGGCAAAAAACAAAAACGTAGAATCGACAGCTTATCACGATCTGTCCGAGGTTTGACCGACTGTGTATATCCGTTACAAGTCGGCTGTCTAGGATATCGGACCGAAACTATGGACTCGGGAACCCGCTGACGGTACGCTGAGGCCGTTTGTGAACGAGTGAATGCAAGTTGTACCGTCGCGCTCCTTGACCCTAAACAAAAGGCAAATCGTGCTTTAAATCGGTCTGCTCGTAGGTCGAACCCAAACCCGTAAGTAAGTGCGTGGATGTAGGATGGAGAGCGACGAGGAATGAGCTGGTGTTCCTGATGGGACAATTCCCGATGGTGGTACTGTTCAACGGCCGTACGTACTGGTGGTAGGAATTTGAAGCAGCGAGATCAAGGTAAGCAATTAAGAAAAACTCTTATGTAAACTGAGGAACGTGACGTATAGATCGGCGTCGAACCCAGTCCTCTGGAGATTTGTGTGTTGATCAGAGGAGTGATGACTGAAACGAGTCGGGGTGGGGATCCCTTGGACAAAGAAGGTCGTTGTACTATGAGCGTTGGATAGAGGGGTTTCTGTGTAGAAGAGCTGTGGTGAGAAAAAACAAGTGTCAAGGCTAGCTTCGTAAAGAGAACTCTGTGCCGGGGAGTCGAGCCCAGCTTGCAGGGGCATCCCCAGGTGACCTGGAGATTGCTTGTATGGAATCGATGGAATCGATGAAGATCAAGGATTCACTGTGGGAAAATCTTATTGAATAGAACAAGTTAACTCTCTGCCTGGGAGTCGAACCCAGCTTTCGCGCGGATGGATGTTCCGATGAGCCGAGGATGACAGGCGCGTGTACTCACCGATATACTAGCAGAGAACATGCTATTGGTTACGCATAAACATACATAATCGGATGTCGGGGATCGTCCTCATCCTCGATCCCTCGTGGCTTCACATTCTCCAGTGTGCCTCCAGGTCTCAACTCATCTATTTCTTTTTCTTGATGATCACCACCATGACCTGTTATACAAAAGCCGCGTTCCATAATTCAACTGCTTGCTAGATTCACTAGAATCGAAGCCATGTCCGATTGGTCCAAAGTTGAAACTCAGTCATCTTACCTCAACCACGATGGGCCCTGGGGAGCTCGAGCCCTGATGGCGTCTCTCTGGTGTCCTCCAGTCATCCTCCTGGCTTTACATTCTCCAGCACGCCTCCAGGCCCCATCTCGTCTAGCTCTCCTTTGCACGGCGATTGTCAGTCCCAATGTCGAACTAGAGCTCAGCAAGAGCGGACCTTGTCTTGCAAATGAAGAGTTTGAGGAGCTGGTCGAGGGTCTGCTGGGCGAAGTCAACGAGGTCAATTGACATCGTCGCTTTTTGGTTCAAAAAAGGATTGTGAGGTTGGGGAGGTGAGGTGATTTCTCGTAGCCTATAGATTCTTTTAAATAGTAGAATGAGCGTGTAGCAATGGAGAGGGATGTTTTTTTTTTTTTTTTTTTTTTTTTTTCTGAATTTTTCGAAATGCTCCGAACACGTGTAGACATCGTTTTCTGAAAGCTCTGTAACTTAACTGGGATTCTTTTTCCTCAACTTCAATTTGTGGATAAAGACCGCGGTACCCCGCCAGTGCAAAGAGCCTCTTCCTCTTCCTCCTTCACTGATGTATAACTCTCGATGTTCAGCACCACAAACGCTCTACTTATCTGTAGAAAACTCAGAGTCCGGATGAACGCATAAAAATGTCAAACTCACCACATCGTTGTCTTCTCATTCCGGAAATCATCACACTCATCTTTTCTGACTTCCGTTCCTCTTCCGGAGACTGGGACTATCCAGAACTCTATCCTTTCGCAAGGACGTGTCGTATCTTCTCTTGCACCACATTGTGGTACGTTTTGGACGGAGATGGAGGGTCTCTCATGTCTTGTGAAATGCATGTCTGACGTATGGGAGCAAGTCGGATTTGTTCAATCTGGCGACAACTGCTCTTTTCGACCTATCCTGAACCCGCTTGTTCCTCTAATTAGAGCGTTTCCTGCTGCACAGTATGACAGCTATCATCAGTCTAGTAGAAAGGAATTTACCACCCTGCTCACTGCTTTCGTTAATAGGTACAATCCCATCTCGATGCCCAAAACTTAAGGCCTTCGAAACCCGCGGACTGAGTTGCGAATTATTAAGTGGTATCGATGGTATCGATATCATCTCCACTGCGCTTCAAAGATGGAATAACCTCTTAGTCGGTCTTATCCGTGTACCGAATTTCCTCGGAAGCATACTGTCACGGTTGGTGTGCTTCCAAAGCTGAGATACCTCTACATTGTGTCATTCCACTTAATTCACTCCTTGGCTTTCTCCTCCATTTATCGCGGCTTGAACTCTTCAGTGTGGAGGGCGCTAACGTCGATTTCTGTATCAATATCTCTACGGATATGTCCTCGAGGCGCTGTCTCCATACTCGATATCATCTGTGGCTATTGATTACCAACAATAGCGTCATCGCTCAAATGACGAAGACATGGCCCGGCTCTCACTTTAAGTGGCACCTTTCCTCGCCAACGAGTCATGAATACTGAAAGATTGAATTGGAACGTTGATAGACAATGGGGCAATCATACAAGGTTCTGACATTACACAATTACAAGAATGGGAGAGTATACCATCACGAGGTCGATCCGTAGTACTGAGTGTTCCGTTAAGATTGAACTCGGGAATGGACTCTGAACATCTGGACTTTAGAATTATTTGAGCTTCATTCTTATGCGTTTTTTGATGTGATCCAATTCCAACCTGAGCTGATTCAACCTTTTCAGCTGCTCTCCATTCTCCTCTTTCGTCGCCTCCAGCTCCTTCAAGGCCTTGACATCACTCTCTGAAACATTTACCATCTCCTGAAGCTTCCTCTGGGCGTTGACAAGTTGAAGTGTGAGCTCTCTGTCCATTCTCATAGCAAGCGGGTAATGGGCATTGTATCCCTGCTCAGCCCAGATGATGCTGTCACGAAGCATCTCATTAACGTTCTGGAGAGGCATTCGATCGATACCATAGGATGGGAAGATGTTTGGTAACGGCTGGTTCATTCTTGAATACCTCATCCCACGAATTTCCGTCCATGTCGGAAGCTCTTGCCACCATGGTTCTCCTGTCAGCCAGGTTACTCTTGTCCATGCGATAGGCCGAAACGTCCATATGGAAACTATTATCGTTTTGGGTCATGGTAGGATTTCCACCCGAGTGAGGGGGACTGAGCCATGGAAAACTTGTTAACGATATCTCATGACTACCTTGTATACATAGGCAACCTACACCGACATAGACCGTATCAGCATGTTGAGACAGATGGGTACCGACCAGGTACTCTTCCACCTGGCGAAGAAGGTACGCCCTTGCAATAGCATACGTCTGAATCCTACCACTGGCATCGTACATTGCAAAGTGGGATTGAAGAAGAGGCAGGCGTCGGGGGAAAGTAAACATCGTTGGGTCTGATAGTCAAAGAGATTGAGCGTTCGTTGGTCCAGACAACTGGTAATGAACCTGAGCCTTTTTAAAGTGTTGGACTACGAGCATTCTTCCGAATCTAGCAAGAAAGACTTGCTAGTACAATAGGCTGTAAACAATGCATTATTTGTTGGCGTCAGAGCCACCCATTGTTGATCATCTGTCGTACGGGCGAACATTATTGACATGATCTATTTCACATGTGGTGAGAACACTCACCTTTGGCTCTATCATTGGACAACACGAGATGATGGTGGCAGAAACAACAGAACAAATGGAACTATGATATCTTGAGCGGGGATGTTTTGTCAGAGAACTGAAGAAAAAGAGATCACATAGGTGCCTGACAGGGCAATACAACACTGACTCGCCAACTCATCCACCAAGTCATGGTCAAACAACACGGTGGATAGTTTGATGGAGAAGAAGAAGGAGTTCGTTGACAGATTCAAGGCTAAAGAGAATCAAAGGGTTGTGAAGAAGGAGAAAGGGGAACTTGGTTTGTCCTCTCATTCAGAGTCATGAGGGGTCAAGCTTAAGGGGATACGCCACACAGAAGACTCGGTTCGACAGAGCCGGCAGCGCCCCACGCAGCATTCAGTCATATGACCATAAAATCCACGAACACTTCAGGACAGGAATTAGTTTGTTGAGCACAAAGAAAAAAACAAGATACTTGATAGTTGACGAGTCAACCATTGAAG